GGTATTCTAATTGGTATAACATAAACAAAAAGTAGTTTAATAAAATTTTGAATGTAAGACACTAAAACCTTTTTATGTGCAGTAAATGATACCTGTGGAGAAAGGGTTAATATTATGTATGAAGTGAAGGAGTAAAAAAATTCAATACACAAAATATTAAATGTTATTACACACATTCATAGAATACACTAACTCTCAGTCAGGGGAAAAAAAACGTCACAAAATAACTAATAAAAACATTTTGTAAATGTAAAATGATATAGGGATGGTAATGCCAAAAAGAGTATAAGGATGATACAGCTATGCACACGTCATCCCTCCATGACTTTCAATTTTAAAATTTAATGTTACACTAAATTGCAGGAGTACAAAGTGGTTACGGTCAATTTGACTGACCTCATAGCAAGAGCCTGTAATAATCAAGACATGTTTTGACTCAACTTGGTTTTCCTTGTATGTAAGCCCTATGCTCTAGTTACGCTACATTGATAACTTTCCTGAGATGACCATAAGCAAACTGCATATTAACAGTCAGGAATACATAATTTATAACTACAGTAATATTAAAGTCAAGTATGCATTTTACAGTGTAACATTAAATGTTAATGTTAAGTCATGGAGGGGGGTCTTTGTAAAGCTGTATCATCCCTGTATTCTTGTTTGTATTTTTTGTGAAACAAGATGAGGTAGGCATAGTTAAATCATTTTGCACTCAACCATATCAAGTATTGTTTCCCTGACAAGACTCTCTTTTTAGGTTTTGCTTGAATGGGCAAAGAAAATTTGAAGAGAAATGTAAAACATAATATAAAGTAAGTTTAAAACTTATTACAAGTACTAAATGAAACCTGGTTAACAAAAAGTGAGCTTGATAATAATCTTGATTTGGTAAAAAAGTCATTTTTATTGTACACAGTTAAACAACTTTTGTTGTTTTATGTATCAGAACAGAGATAACATTTACAGTTTTAAAAGAATGTAGGTAAAATATAAAAATCAGTTATTAAAAGCTACAATAAAGTTAAGCATTTTTATTTCTTAAAGAATATCACAGTGAAATCTTTCCAAAATTTCAAATCTACAAATTAATACAAATATCACATGAAAATAAAATATTTTATTTGCAGAAGCAACATAATCTGTTTGAAAATAATCCTGAAGTCTCAAGACTATTTCATCTAGTAGGTTTTTTAGCAATGTAATAAAACAAAGTGTAAAACAGGGGTGTCAAATTAACGAACCCCAGTCTTATAATTAAAAGAGTTGTATGTACTTGCATTTGTGATACCACACTGCAAACTATCAAACTGATATGTTGAGGTTCATGGAACTATTGAAGATGCGCATCCTTAATGAGGACTTTTGGAACATGATCATTGGCTGTTCACACCCTCAACATCATTACAGTGCAGTTTTGGTTGTGCTTGATACGGTTGATTTGTAGGAAATATAATTTCATATCCTTCTGAATATCCATTGTGTATTTGCATTGTTTAGTATAATTTTATTTATGATGTCATTTTTTTTTATTATAGTAAGACAGTGCATAACAACTTAGCCAGAGAACAAAAAGAAGTTAAGGGTATTATAATAAGAAACTGTTAATACAAAACTTTAGTATGATATAAGATTTTGGAGCTTTATCATTTTGTTACATTTTATCCCTGCAACGAAGTTTCTATTGCAGAAGGCTTGCTCAATAGGTTATCATGAACAAAATGCGTCACTTCTCTCTTTTGGCTTTCCATAACTCATGTAGCATATGAGCATGATGGTTTCCTACTGCCATTACAACAGTCTGATAATTGGACTGATATGTCTTCATATGGAATAGCATATGTATTAAAAATAATTTTAATATAATGTACTCAGTTCTCTGTATTTGTTTATTGTATGTTTTTGTTTTTTCTTTTCAGTCTTTGAAGAACGTTAAAAAAATGAAAAAGGAAGAAGCATCATTAGAAAAATGTAAAATAGGAGATGAGTAAGTACTTTTCTTTGTTGTGCAGTTGCTGAATTATTTTAAACATTGAGATTAATCAATTATTAAAAGATTTGGTTTTTGACAAATAGCGTGTGTAAATTTTCATAGATGTTTTTAAAATTAATAAATGCATATTGTAGTGTTAAATATTATACTGGAAAGTAGAGAAATCTCAAAGCTGTTAGGACTATTTTTTGTTCTAATATGTAATTGTTTCTTCATCACCTGAAGTTACTAAAAGTTTATTTTGACAAACATTCACTTACTAATCATCTATATGGGCTACTTATGAATACTGAATAACTTGGAAGTTTGATTTAGTTCTGTTTATTTTCAGACCAGAACCGGATGGTGTTAAAAAGCAAGAATTGAAACTTGCTATTGGTGACAAGGTGAAAGTAAGATATGGGCGAGGCAAACAACATAAAACATATGAAGCCAAAATAATCAAAGTTGGAAAATCTATTGGTGAAGCTCGCTTCTATGTTCATTATACAGGGTGGAATGGAAGGTAATTTTTAAATAGTCTGATTTTAATTGTATTACTTTATTGTGTAAATTATGTTTTAAAATGTAATTATATGCTGCAGGTTTGTGTCTTTAAAGGTGTTACTTTGAAGTTCAGTTATATCTGATGTTTTTGTTTCTTCCCACTATGTGTTCACTTTTTATTACAAAATACAATAGACTTGGCTTGACAGTATGAATCCTTTGAACTTTTCTATATACTGTTTTGTGGTACACCCTTTCTTTCTTTAGCTTAATCCTTCCCTTAGTACTACAGCGGTAATATGTTAGCACATTTAGGTCCACTCCTTTGCATTTAATAAAATATAAAAATATAGTTTTTATATACTTAAGTATAATTTCTTCAAGACTGGAATTTGTGTTAACATTATCTATAAATTGAAATTTAGTATGTAGACTATATTTGTATTTGTTTAACTTATTAGGTATACAAATCAAGATATTTTTTATTAAAATTTTTGTGCCATCACTCAGAAAGTATTTGGCCAGACTTACCATTATATAACTAAAGTTACAGAAAACACTAATGGTTTGCTATATAATTTCTTCTAATGTGCAACAACTTTGTTGTCAGAAATATCATGTGAGAATAAAATAAAACTGTCAAACATAAGGACTAGTAATTAAAGCCAGAATTTTTCATTAAAAATAAATAGTTGTGTGGTCTAGTTTATCATTAAAAAGAACTGCAAAAGTAGTGCTAAGACCATAGTAGGTTAATTATTAATGTACTTTGAAACTATCATGTACTTACTATATTTTTCTGGTAACTTGCACATTATTAAATTAAACACATAACATATGTGCTTTAAAATAGGAAGTGCCTTTTCCAGTGGTGAATAACCATCAAACATGTTGAAAGTGATAGTAATTAAACCTTAAATTCTTTGGTAGAAAAGAGAATGTATTGTGTTTGTGCTAGTAAGTGATATAATCGTGCTGACTGTCAATAATCTTTGATTGAGAATATGAGAAACTAATATTATATCTTCCTTATCAGAGTGAATATGTTCACTAACACATTTTTTTAAAGAAATGAATACAAATTTCATTGAATGTTTACTTGTGGTTTTCACAAGTTTTTACAAAGTTATTTTGTTTTGAATATGTTAAATTTTTGTGGATATGATAATTTTGTATTTTTCAGATAAAAAAGGATTGAATTTGGATGTTTTATATAAATTACTGTATTGTACGTGTGACTTTAAAATTCTGCTGTCCTGTATCAGTAATATTATTTTTGTAGGTATGATGAGTGGGTCAAAAGAAGATATATTGTTGGAAAGATCCCCGAAAAGACCACCAGCACTAAGAACAAGCTAAAAGAAGGCTTTTTGAAAAGGGTAATTTTGATTGTTCAGTTTTTGTCTTTTATTAGGAGTTCCAGTTCCTTAGCTTTAGACCAACTTGACTGAATTATCTTGCTAAAGATATATTAAAACTAATTACAACTATTTTTCTCTGTTGGTGTAGTAACTGGTTAAGTAAACTTAGCACAATAGACTTTATTTCTGTAAAAACTAGAGGTTTGAGGATATAGTGTGCAGAATTAGGTGTGTAGTGATTTTTAATATGTGAAATGAAAGATACAAGGAAGAAATGGTGCTTAATTCCAAATAAAAATCAAACGCTTTTTTTAAAGATGGTGAATTGAAAGCATGTGTGATCATTCGAGTGGTAGGACTAAAGCAGAATACTAGAAATTTAATGAAATGAAGTGAGTGAACTATAATTAGATAAAAGAAATGAAGATAACATTAATTGCAGATGAAAGAAGTAATATGTATGAAAACTGAAACGGTGACAAGACTTCTGTTTAATATCTTGGCAATTTTAAGTTTCATACAAAAGGCTTCCTCAAAAGTCAGGATGAATCTAGTGCTGGAGCACCAAAACTGCATTCACAGTATACTTTGTAGCTGACCAATCAGGAACGAATCACCAGAATATGGAAAAATAACTGTTCCATGTGACAGTTATAAATCTATCCTCCATACAGAAAGTAAAGTGGGACAAAACATTAACTCATGAAACAGCAGATAAGTTTCTTGACAAGTTAGACTATAGAAAGTAATACCTTGGGCTGAACATGGCACATGTCCTATGTCCTAAAGAAGATTTGGGATGTTACAAATTAGAACTTAGGAAAATTTAAATTTTGTGAATATGAAATGTTTACTATTGGAGAATGAATTATTTAATTTTTGCACGTTACATCAGTTTTTTACACTCCAAAAATAAATTTACTGACTAACTGTGTCTTAAACTGTAACCAGTTGTTTGTAGGATAAAACTGAAGCAAATCTTTGGATTTTCTTTTTAGGTGCTGGAAGTAGTCCAGTGATTAGTGTGCTGGACTGTGAATCTGAGGATCCATGATTAGCATATTTTTGTTTTTTTTAACCAAATTAAGTATGTAACAAGAGCTGAATTTCAGATATTTCAGATTAGAAGTTTAAAAACTTAACAAATTGGTGAATGTTATATATATATATAAAAATAAATAAACACGCACACACACCGAGAGAGTGAGGTATGTAATACTTGCATACTACAATCTCTTTCTTATCTTAAACATGCTCTCAAGCTGCTTTAATTGAAATGTAATGCCAAGTTAAAAGATACAATGTGGTAAGATTGTATGAAAATGACAATCATTGATCAGACTGGACATTGAAGTCATGAAATGACACAGACTCAGAAGCTTAACAATTATCCTGTTTATCACACATTGCTAGCTAAATTAATAATGCATATTAAGAGTATATAATAAAACCCTTTATCAGTAAAATATAAAAATACAAAAGTGAAAAACCTTGAAGTATCTGGAGGATATGTACGTACAAGGGAAACCAATCCGTTTATTTACAATGGGCGTATGAAATATATCACAAAATTAAAAAACCCTTTAAATACAAAACATGGAAACAAACTCTTCATTATATACCGAATATAATAAGAATAATTATAAAAAAATCATAATGAACATAAATCAGGAAAGGAAATTGAAGAAGTTGAGAACGAAGAAGCAGAGGAAACAATTTCAGATTGTGCAAGGATTAAGATGGGTCAATATAATTTAAAGGTAAGAAGCTAGTGAAATAAAAAAATGGCAATTGGGGCAGCATTTGACTAAATAAAAGTCAAAATCATTATCAGTATGAAAGGAAACAGTAAAACGAAATGAAACATAATGTAAAAGAATTTTCAAATCATATCATACATGAAGGAAAAGTAGCAAAAAAAAACTAAATCCTTTGGCCAATCAACACATACATATATACATAGAGCTCGAGTTGGGCTTAATCACGTATTAATTTTCTATTTAGTGCCTGATTAGAAATAAACAGGTAATTATATTACTGTTTTAATTATTTATTTATTTTTTGTGCAAGTTAGTTTCAGCTCCTATAATTTGTGGCCATCTATGCTTGATTAAGGTGGGTACTAAATGTTATGAACTTTGAATTGTAAATGAAAAATGTTTCACTGTTTTGTGTAATATGTGAACTGTGAGAATAGTACTAGTACATATTAAAAACTACACAGCATTAAGCACAGTTGCTCAGTTTTTCAAGGAATCCATGTTCCCCAACCTCATTGAAGGGTTAGTATAAAAATGATATTCCAAGGTGCAGTTGTATAGAACTGATTGTATGTAGAACACAGCATCACATATGCTGTTATCTGGTTGGCAACTACATGAGTGGTTGACTTCTCTTTTGACCCCAAAGAGCATGGAAGTGACCAGAACTCTAGTGAGCTTATCACTTTTGCACATTCACTGTAAGGTAAAATCAGAACATTGAACGAAGTTAAACTCTGCACTGTTTGTCAGACAGCATGAGAGAATAGCAATTTTTCTGTTTAGAAATATTCCTAAATTTAAATCCAAACTGCATTCTAACTTTATTTTTCACTGTTGTACGCTTTAACTGATGAAGTCAGAATTTGTACTACACAGGGACAAAGATATTCAAGGAGCAATGTTTCAGCTCGGCAGAATTTTTTCTTTGCTATTCATTCTCTTATTTTCACAGATTAGATGTTGAAAATGACTTCCGTATTTAAACTACTGTGATTCCATGAATGATGTCATACTTGTATATGCATGCAACATACTAACATGGATATTTTTAGTAAGAAATGTAAACACAGTTGCAATGCTTTCATTGCTAGATTGAAAAAGTCATGCTGCTCGCTAAAATATGTTTTTATCAATAGGCATATATACACCAAACAATTTTTCAAGAAGATAAAACAAATACTTATTATCACTTTATATGTATTTATAGCAGCAAATCAAACTTGGTTCATTGTTTTATGTGGAAGATGGGACTAATATTTCATTATATTTTCCATCATGTTCTATCTTCACAGAATGAGTATGATGGTTTTCCACACGCATTCTTCTAAAGTGCACATTTGATCTTTGCTGCATACATGTGACCACTTTACCTTAGGCAGACTTTTCTTCCATTTTTATTACATATATATGAATGTTTTAAGCCATGTAAGGTTGTTTTATACTTCCTTCAGAGAAGTATTTTACAGGTGTTTAACAGTAAAATCATGATGAAAAGTGTTCTACAACAATACACCTGTCTAAGTGATGTTCATTAGGTCTTATAAACATAATATGTATTTTTTTATCTGTAGTCCAAAGTTTTTAGCTATTGTCAACAGCTTGCCAACCATCAACATTTTATATTCACTATCTGTCATCAAGTACAAGTTGGATAAACCAAAATTGAGAGGATAGCACAAAATATCTTGAATATTTTAGCCTACAAATCCACCAAGTACTCAAAGTTTGCCTATCTATTTTAGCTTTCAAACATTTTAAAATTCCTAGTGATCATTTCTAGATCTATAAACTTTTTATGTACTAGGCATCACATCTACTAATGCCAGCTATCCTAACTTTTAAAACTCTGACATGGCCAGCAGTACCTAATGTACCAGACCATGGTTCAGACATTTCAGTGGATGGATAAAGCATAAGACTCCTGAATGGAGAAGCATTCAGCTTTTACAAGTAACTTTACTGAGTTATTTGGGTTTCTTCTCTGTTTACTCTCTTCTGAGTTTGGATTTCCTTCCTTCCCTTCTTGCCAAAAGCAGAGGTATCTCTTGGATTATATGTTATTAACACCACAGTTGAGAAAAGTAATTAAGAGGAATTAAAGAAACAGATCATCTACCATTTCCACAGTAACTAGATCCTGAATGATGGAGCCAGAATTTGTTCAGTCGAGATAGTCTGTAGTAATCTTAAGATTAAAACTAGCAAACAGGCACTCAATCTCTGCAAAAATAGAGTTCAAGGACCTTGTATGTGGAAAGACAGTTGTAGTATTTTGTCACAGGTGAAATGAAAGTCAAGACTCAGTGTTGAAGTAAAAAAAAAAAGAATCAAACGCTATTTTGTGAAGATGATCATTAGAGTGACAGGACTACTGTGGAGTACAAGAGATTGAATAAAATAAAGTGAACTGTAATTAAATAGAAGTAGAGGTATCTTTACTTGCAGATAAATTAAAACAAACTGTGTTCTTGCAGTCAGCAGGTATGGAAACACTGAAACAATTATGATTTTTACAGCTAGTTTAAAACAAATTTTGTTCCCTCTAAATACATGTTTTCTCTATTGCTGACTAATCAGAAAACAGACACTGGTATGCAGAAGTACTCTGTTCCATGTGATGGTTGCAAAGATATTCTCCATACATAAGGTAAAATAGGATATAATGTAACTATCCTGTGAAAAGCAGAAAAGATCCTTCACTGGACAGGGAATGGAAGTCAAAACACTAGACTGAATTCAGCTGATGACCTTGACCAGATTTGAGTAGCTCCAGATAAGAACTTAGAAGAATTTTAAAGTTTTGTGAATATGAATTACATAGTTTTTGCCTGTTACATCAGTTTGTTTTGTTGAAAAATAACTTTACTGGTTAACTGTTGGGACATAAATTGTAACTGTTTGTTTGTTTGTAGCGTAAAATTGAATGAAGTAAATCTTTAATATTTTAGGGGCCAAGCATGGTCTAGTGGTTAGTGTGATGAACTGTGAATCTGAGGGTCCATGGTTAGTGTCCCTTTGCCACTGAATTTAGCAAATGACCAGAATTTAATTTGAGATGCTTCCAATTAGAACTTGGGAAAACTTTCAAATCTTGTCGATTTGTCTCTCAGTTCAAAATCAGAAATAGGTAGCATAAATAGCCCTAGTGTAGCTTTGTGTGAATATATGAAACAAAAACTGATCTTTTATACATGGATTTTGTGTAACTTTGAAATGTATTGTTTTTCAGGCTTTTGTACAATTATTTGTATGCCAATGTCTGTTCATGCTATTTCTGTTAAAAGAAAAAAATGGTAGTATTGATAAAACTTCTTATGAGATTTGGTTTTATGTCATACAAGTTTTGTTAAGATTCTGGTAGTATACTACTAGTATAGCTTAGAAATGGTTAGTTTGTGATAATTCTGTAAGAAATTTATTATTCAAACTAATTATTTACATAGTTATTTTAATTTCTAATGTGAATGTTTATCTGAAATCTTACATTATTTTTAATGTTGTATTTACTAGAGCTGGGGGATTAATTTAAATAATCAGTGTAATAGATTACCTGTGAACATTCATTAATATCATGTAAAATTATTAATTAATTGAAATTAGAGTTTTCCATTATGATTTCTAATTATTGTTTTAGATTAATTCAAGTTTATTTAGCTTGATCAGTTAGTTGTCACAATTCCTGAAAGCAATTGCAGAATTGGCATTTTGCTGATTCAAAGCAATAAACTTTGGTCTTACTTTCCACTGGAGTGTTGTTGTGTACAAAATCCAATGATAGTCTTTTTTTTCTCTTCTACCTCTTAACAAGTGAAGTGACATCTGCAGTTAGGTTTGTCTTTTTGTACAGTGAAGATGTGCCTGAAATATTCATGTACTTGATCACCTAGATGTAATTGTGTATTGTTCACCACATGCATGATTGCCTCAATATGGTTCTCATTTTCCCAGAACTAAGTTTATGCAACTGTACCTATTTTGTTAAGTATTTTTCTAATGTGTAGTGAGTGTCTCAAAATAATGTTTATTTTCGTCAACAAAAAATATTCTGTCGTCTTGTGAAAATTTGTGGGCTGAAACCCACAGAATGATATTAATCATATTCTTAGCTTGTTAAGGATTTTGTAATTTGTTGGGTATATAATACATTTTCATGTACAACAGCTTAGGATTAAAAAAGGTAACTTAATCAAGAATTATTGTACCTGAAGATGTCTATCGGACTAAATGAAAGGTAGTTTGAAAACGTTTTAAAGAAAGCCTGAAACAAGCTGAAAATAAATTTGTCTCGTGAGAATAATCTATTTGTTGAATGTAATAGATTTATGAGCCCATTGATTAATTAATGAGCAAATTCTACTAATTGTTTAGCTCTAGTACTTATCAGTTTGTAACATCTCTGTCTTTAAAATTGTGTTGGTTTGTTATTTTTGCCTATAATTTTCTTGTAATTATTGTGGGTCATTTATATATTTATGGCTTGGTGTAGTTTTTAAATATACACCTAACACTTGAAGTCATAGAGCTTGACTGTGTGACTTAGTTGGACTGGTGAGAATCAACCTTGTTCGAAACTTCAATTTCCAGGTGGTCATGGAATGAGTTTTTTGCTACTAAGTGTGAATGTGTATGTTTTCAACATAAAATTATGTTCTCATTCTGGTTTCTCACCTCTGAGTCACAGAAATAAATCTGTGATTCTGACATAGTTAAAGTAAGTCATATGTTATAAAGTATGTGAGCTCACACTTAGAAATCAATTTCACACTGTAATAAGCTGAGTACTAAAGTTCAAATCTCTCTCATCAGCCCAGTGGAACTTGATGATTTCAAAATTCTGTATATGTTGACAAAAAAAATGGTGAATAGTTAGACTTCTAGTGAATTATGAATTAAATCACTTGTAACTAGTGAAAAACTAAATTTTAAATTAGTAAATTAGATAAAAGTTAATATTTTAAAAATATATTTAGAATGATTATCAGTAGATTTGTTTACCTCTTGTTGTTTTTTTAATATCTGATTATTACTAATTTTGTTTTATAGATAAAAAGTATGAGAAAGGTTTTATCAAGAGAAAAAGTTTCAAAGTTATCTGTTTCTGGAAAAGAAACAAAGTCAAATTATGTGGAAGCCCAGCAATCCGTAGATGATGTTGATGAACAAGCAGTTCAGGATTTGTCATCAGATGCACAGAGAAGTATCAGATCTGTACAGTCTGGCCAAACCAGAAGACCCTTTACACGCAGTAGGTCTGAACTGTCTATTTCATCTTTAACTGATTTGACTGATCCTTCTTTTGATGGGTGTGAAACTGAGGTATTTGGTGAAATGATGAAGAAGCAGAAAGATCAAGAAGATTCAAATGAACAAGTTGAAATAGAAGATGAAGAAGCACAAGATAGTAACAAGTTCACCAATTCAGATGAAAATATTTTATACAATAACCTAGAAGCAAGCATAGAGAAAACAAGTAGTATAAAAGGTGAAAAAATAAAAATGGTCACTATAGATAAAAAGATAGAATTTCAACATCGTTCTGCTAAGGAGAAGATGGACAGTGAAGAAGAAAAAAGAAATAACTCAGACCCCTTCAGTAAAGAAATTAAAACTAATGCAAATGAAAAAAAGGATTTTCCAGATCTTTTACCCAAAGAAATAGAAGTTGGTGAAATAGAAAAAATTCAAAGCCAAATTTGTAAATCTGATGATAAGTCACACATTGAGAAAAGCAGAGAAGATGAGTTACAAACTGCACCATTGTGTGAGGACTCAAGCATATTGCTTGAGGATGCCAAATTGGATATTGAATCTCAAGTTACAACAACATGTGATTTAGACTCTGATAATAAAAATAACTTGACATTTATTGAAGAAAAAGGAGGTGTCTTTTTCTGTGGAAATAACAACACAGAAATGAATCTTCCAAAAGAAGGAAAAGTTTCTCCCAGTTTTTTCACTGAAGAGTGCGTGAAGGTTCCAAAAAACCCCTTAAACATTGAAACAAAAAAGAGTGAACAACTAGTAAATAAAAAAACTGGCTTTCAGACTATTGTTTTAAAAACAGAAGTGGAAGATGTTGATAATCCGGCTCTGGCTATTGAAAATCATGAACCAGATGATCTGAAGAATGAAATTATGATCCATCCTCAAGATGAAACCCTTCATAAGCAGTCGGAGGCTGTGTCTTCAAAACTGAACTGTGAGGAACATTGTGGAAGTGAGTCACTTCAAGAAACTATGAGTGATTCTATTAAACAAGATATTGATGGTCTACATATTAAGCCTATCTTAGTAGACAAAGTAAACAAGGAAGAAATAACTCTTGACAGTGTGCTGACTACAAAAAACTTAGTTAGCTGTCCTGACATAGAAATGCAGAGAAATGAGTTACTAGTTTCGAATGGTGCAGTTAGTCATGGAGATTATTTTGATAAGAGTACTGTGGTGAGACCAAAAAATACAGAAGAGGTGCACCTTGATGAATTGGATATTAAAAAGAAAATCGGGTTGGAAACGAAGAGCTTTGAAAATACAGAAAAAAGCTGTGATAAACCAAAAGAAAATTGCTTGACTGAGGGAGTTGCAGAAAATTCCCATGAATTTTGTGTATCTACTACAAGAAAAGAGAGTAAGAAAAAGAAAACAAAACTTTCAAAACAAGTTAAAAAAAATATGTCATTGTTGAATTCATTAGAAATGAAATGCAAAGGAAAAGGAAAAACAAAAAAGAATGCCGATGGAGAGGACATTGAGTATAAGAACATGCAGGTAAAACCCAAATCAAAGAAACTAAAAGAAAAAAAAAGGTTAAAGAAGGAAAGTCTGATAATTGTGATATAAAAACAGAAGAGAAAGAGTGCTTGCCTTGTGTGTATAAATTTGTGGATGGTGCCAGAGAGTTGCCTACAACTGATAATATAGAGACAGGAGGAGAAAAATCTAAAAAGAAAGATAAAAGAAAAAAGATAGCAAAAAACAGTTGAAAACTTTGGATCTTAATGAAGATATTTGGGATGATAAAAATTTGTCTAAGAAAGAAAAGAAAAAGGTAAAAAAGATCAAAGAGAAGCCAGAGACCTACAATGTTTTAACATTGTTAGAAAAAAAAGTAAAAAAGAAAAAGAAAGGAATAAAATCCCATGGTCAGAACTCTTCAAATGTTGTTAGTAAAATTCTTAAAGGTGACACATCTATTGAAAGCAGAAAACAGACAAGGAAGGAAAAAAAGAAGAAAAAAGCAAAATTGAAAGATTTGTTACCAATAAAAAAGGATCAAGATAGCCTGCCAGTGGAAACCTTAAGTCCCAAAGAAGAAGAAGATAAAACAAGTGAAAATGTTGCTAAAGATGAATCATTAAATCTTAAAGATAATGAAGCCAAGTCACCTGAAGAACACCAGTCTCCAGACAAGATCATTGAGTTATTTTGTGAAGAAAATATTCCCAGTAGTCCCAGTAATGAAGAAGCTTTTCATGTAGACTATGACCAAGACCTACATTTGGAAGCATCCTCATCTGTGGATACAGAGACAATTGAACAAATGAAGAAAGCTTCACACACTAATGGGGATTCTCTTTTTTCATCTTTGGTTGAATTTTCATCACACCTGTCTTTGATGAATAGTGAAAACCAAAACAAACCTGATGTTTACACTGTGTTAGAAAATACACCTCCAACCACTCCTGAAACTTTAGAATCTGTGGCTTCTAACTCTCCAGCTTATGAACAGTATGGCTCTTCTATTGAGAGTATTTGTACATCGACTGAGACAGAATCTACTGGTGAAACAAAGACGTCTGTGGTATTGGAATGTGAAGATTCTTATTCTCAAGATGACAGCACATTTCCAACCGTGTGCACTAACAATGGAATTGTTAAGGCTGGTGCATCAGGTTCAACAGGTAAACACAACTGGTCCAACTCTGATGCTACCCGAGAGTATCCTTCTAGGAAGTACAGGAAAAAGGCACATAAACACCACAAAGGAAAACATTCTCTTAAAATACCCAGAGGTAAGATACAAAATTTTATTCAGCAAAAAAGTATATAAGGGAAAGTTCATTGTCTGGTTGTTGTGATCATTGTAGCAATTGTTTCAACAAAAATCTACCTCCATCTTCATATTATCAGTAATTAGATAGAAGTGATTACAGTTTCTGTTTAGAAACTTGAAGAATGAGCAGAAAGGAGAAATATGTTGGTTTTTTATATACTAATTATATGACAGACATTTTAAAGTACTTCCTTTATACACACAAATCTATGTTTGTATGTGTGTGAATGTTTGTCTCATTAGTTTGGTGCTGACCTACTTAATTCACAAATTGTGTAAATATATATATATGATTAGAAGTTATTAACAAATGCTTATTAATACCATTGAATAAATAAAAGCTGCACTTAGGTGAGAAAAGCATGAGCTGGGATCTTCAATTTTGTAAAAAGTTCTTTTGCTGGGCATTTTTTGTTATGCTTCTGTATCCGTACTTTTCTTGTATTTACATGAACCTCATTGTTCATACTCTTCATCTTTGGTTATTGGTATCATCCTGATCTCAATACTTAGAAGGTGACATGAGTTATACCAACTGATTGAGTTGAATATTCTCAGATCAGTAACTGATAGTTCTCACTGTATGAAATACAATAGCTGTCTAGCCTGAAAAAAGCTGTAATTATGGATTTAGAACTGTATGCTAACTAACAGATAAAACAAGGTACACGTTTTACTTAAATAATAATTATTATTTTTTGTGCAGGATTACTGTTTTAAAAATATGCGAGTTACATAAATACTAAGAAAATGGGAAGGAATCAGTGGAGGCAAGTGTCATGGAAATGGGTAAAATTAATTTTCTCCTTTTTTTTTCAACGTTAAAACATTGTGACACATGAAACTGGATAAAAGCCATCAACTTGATACGATCACACCTTGCATTAGCTGTTAACTTGTAAAACAGATGATTGTGATTCATAATTTATCAATTCATTATAATTGTTCAGAAGACATTTTTGTTTCATGCAATATGAGATACCAAATAGGTGTTTATTTTACTGAACTGCAAGCAATATTAACTTGATGATATCAACAATCATCAAGCTTGATTTCTGTTTATTTACTCAGTGGAAGGAAAGTATCTTTTCAGATAATATATGTGTGTATATACATATGCACATATATTGAATATCAAATGTACAGACTGGTTAAAGGTACTTAAACAATACTGAAAGGAAGTGTTAGTTCTTAATAGTCATACTTTGTTTCAAAAATCTTTGTGGAGGTACCAGTGACAAGAAAATTTGGCAGTTTTATAGGATTTAGACTGAGCTATACACATTAGAAGTGTGCTGTGTAGAACAGATTACTAACAAATATTAGATGTGGAACATTACCCCTATGAATGGCTTGTAAAGAACACAAAATGTCTAATGTAAAACTATTTCTGACCTGGAAATTAAAGGTCAACTTGCATAGATTTACAATTTGTAGGCTATAAAGTCAACAGTTTTAGGTATAATAACTCGCTTGTTATTAAGTCAAATTGTGTATTTTGTTATTTCAGAAGACTCTAAGTCTACCAGTTTATCAATAAAGCATGTAAAAAGTAATGCTGTCAGCACTTCATCTCCTAGCTGTGATCCATCTTCTCGGTCTCATTGGACACCAAGGTTTAACTTCTGTGTTCCACTTGGTGAGTACGGTGCAGAGTTGTTGCTATGTTTGCAGTAATGGAAAGGTAATGGCAGTGAGAGAGACCTATACAGAAGTAGGGTTAGCTAAATGAAACTTTTTTGATTACCTCATTCATTTACATAATTTTGTTTAGGAAGTTATGTCAATTTATTCTTGAAAATCTGAGAGTAAGATATGCATTTAACTTTTCTCACATTCACAAATAGATGTCAAGAATTTATAATGAATTATTTGTATAACTCTGTAAACTGTAACTTGTATTTTTTTAGACTGAATAGCTCAGTTTCAAATGGACTGACATTGAAGTCTGTTTTTACTAACCACAAGTGACTGAACTAGGTAACTATGTTGTTTTCTTAGATGATTACAAGGATGCTGATGAAAGAATTGCCATCCTGCAGGAAAAGTTGTCTGAACTTAAAAAAACATATATGGCCCTGAAAGCTGAAGTTGCTCTGATTGACAGGCGTAGGAAGAAAGCCAAGAAGAAGGAAAAAGAAGCTGGTATTTGAGAATTTGTACAATTGAATAATAACGTGATAATAATTTTTAATTAATAATCTGATGTGAAAAGTAGAGAAATTTCTTATAGATTTTAAGGCTAGATATGCAGCATGTTAATTAAGCATTAAATTACGAGCAGGGACTGTTTCAAAAGCTAGTTGTAAGCAGATATATAAGCTGCAGGTCAGACAGACTGCAAAACCTCTGTGAAAGGCATCTATTTTAGACCATGTGCATTAAGTCAGTCAGTCTTCATTTCAAAGAGAAATATTTTATAAAATTGCTAGTCTTAATTTTCATGTGTGACATGATGTGTCTGACCTCCAATTTCTCTATTTCACAATTTTCTAAGATGGACAGCTGCAGTTTCGGAATGATTATAAACACAAACTACACATAATTATAAGCAAGAAGATAAAATTTGAACCTTCTACTTTTTTAGTTTGCTGAAATATCAATAAATTTGTCAAACCCACTAATACCCCCATCTTCTGACTGTCTAGCCCTATTGAGATAGCTCATGGATGAAAGGCCATGTCATCTTGTTTGTTGATTCGCATTCAAAATTTTATTGAACTACTATTTCATGAATTCTTGTCAATAAGTTTGGTATCAAACTGTAGATTATAATTCAAATTTTAGTACTATACATTACTCGATTTCTTAATTTTAAAAGTAAGTATTAAAAACACAGATAAACATCGATTTTGGTATGTTGAATGCAGCATTGGTTCAAATTAGATGTTTGTGAAGTCAAAATACTAAGTCTATAGTTTTGTACAAATTAGAAATTCAAATTACTGATATTGACAAGCTAGAATATGAAATAAGAGTGTCTTATCTTTTCTATTTGCTAAGATATTGCTCATGTAATAAATCAAACACAGTGGCACTCCACCCACCTCTTTCCATTTTTGGAAACACTCCTTTATATATACTTACTTCTATATACGACAGGAATAATCAATTGGAACCTCAGAATGTCCCACTAGTGGCTTTCTCAGACATTTTAATGGGCTTGGATGATATTTCTTTCCTTTGAACCAATATTTCAAGTAGGTAGGGTGTGTGTGTGTGTCTTTATTCTGGTCAATTTTTCATATTTTCTTAAGACTAAAATACATTTTAGTTACTAAACTTGATAAATTATAGTGGAATTCTGTGGTATTAATGTAGTAACTTATGATTTTTTAGTTATTCAAATGTATATATATATATATATATATAGAACCTAAAAAAAAATTATTTAGTTTCATATCCTCCACGTACAAAATTTTTTAAAGACTTAGCAACCTACATCAAGCAGCAACTGAGTACAAAGGTTGTAACTGGAAGAGATAATTGTTTGCTTTACTTCTTTAGTTACTGTTGTATATTTTAAGAAAAATAAGTTTAAGAACATATTTCTAATTAGCAATAATCTATATACATATATAATGTATAATAATTGAAATGCCACTGTATTTTACAAAATACTAGTCTACTGAAACACAGTCATTTTGTAAAGGCTAAAGGTCAGTTTTATATTATTGGATACTGTAACATGAGTGTGTGTGTGTGTGCTGTGTCATTGTAAGATTTGTATTGTTAGCCAGGTATGGCTGAAAGGTCAATATAATAAATATATTTAAATATATATAAAATGTTATTAGATTTAGGCTATTTAGTCTCAACATTTATGTTTTCGTGTTATAACTTGTTGTCATTCTAAAATGAAAGAGGGATAATTTATATTTATTTCCTAATTTCTTATGGTGGTTATGAGGTCAGTCAAATCGACCTAACCCGTACAGAGATTAATTACTGAAAATAACAGATAAAATATAGCTTTTTCTTAAAAAACGTTTGATAACTATTTGGACATTATAATGATTTCACATGCGAAATTTGAAAAATTTGTGATGCATAAAAATATTTTTAATCTTAAAATGAAAATTACTTTGCATATTGGATAGGCAACATGCAAAAAGAAAAAAGGCATGAGAAAAACATTGCTTAACAAACCTTAAGACTTAATAAAAAAATCTGATATTTTGGGACGAAAGCCTTGTAATGTTTACTGATAATCTGCCAAATTTCATGAACATATGCCTACTAATTTAAAATTTATAGAACAAAACATTGTGAAGGAACGTATGGATTAATTAGTGTTTGTTTTCATACATAGGAAGTCAAAACTTCCTCAAAAGCATGGTCCTAGGAGAAGGGAGAACAAGCAGAAGCAGCAGTGAAAGCATCCAACTCCTGCCAAATTAACAACTGAATCTCCTCAGCCGACATCCGCAACTCATCACGCTGGGGACTAGTGACATAGGTTTCATCCATATTTGCAGAAACTTCTTCATCTGGCACATGAAAATTCGAATTCATAAGTTGACATGTACTTTTGAAAAAATAATAGTAAATTAACTACTAAATGAATAAGTAATTCCAATTAAACGTGATAACTAGCAAGAAACCAACAAAAATGTAGCAAACTTCGCTTGAAGAACAACTGAAACCACACATCTGAAAACTGTAATGCCAATCAAGAAAGTGAGGATTGTGCTGCAATGGTAGAGGGAGCTTCCTGTGCTAGTAAGGAGGGTGCAATAGGATTGGTGGAGGGTGTTCACTGTTCAGCATATGTTGCTGCAATGACACACAAAATATAGGGGTATAAAAGACTGGTGCACTGTTCATAAGAGTTACCAATACCTAGAGGGCAACTGAAGGTTGAGATAGCTATGAGGGAGAAGTCAAACATTCATTCTTTGACAATAAATAAAAATTACAAGAACCAATGCAATCAACTCAGGTGTTCCATTACAAACTGAACAAATGCAGAGGTTGTGCACATTATAATAATTTTCAAGTCTCATTGTGTTGTTACAGTTCATTTTACCACATCTGGTCATGCTCTTTCTGATGACTGTGCATCTTGACAATAGCTCTGCAGCAAGGTTTCCATTGCAAAAAGCTTCATCATAATGTTGTCATGTCCAAAGCACTCCACTTTTCCATGCTTGTTTCCATATTCCACCTAGTGTACAAGGATTACAGTTTCCCGCTGTTTATTTCAACAGTCTGATTGCACAGAAATCTATAAATGCTGTATTTGGCAACTTGACTGGTATGTCTTCTTATGAAATAGCATGAATATTCATTTCATTCTACAACTGCTTGAGGTATGCAATAATTGAATGGATATGATGTGGAAACAGTTTGTGTACATTTGACTCATGCCTCTTTTTTAAAGATACTTCCTGATTATGTTCATTAATGTTGCCTGGGACATGTGTATGGCTTTCACTACTGACCTTTGCATGCATAGATTCTCCCATGTTACAAGTTATCACACTCTGCTTACTATACACGTCTGGAAAACAACTTACTGCAGGACTCTTTTAGATGGTCCTTGTGCCCTAAGTTGTTTTATTGTCTTTTGTTTTCCAATGCCATTAAGTACAAGGGATATCCTCTTCTTGGAAAATATAGATTCCTGATTTGAACACATCTTTATGACCTGACTGTATAAGTATTTTGCATCAGAGAGAGCTGTTACATATCCTTCCAAAAGTGATCTATTTTTGGTAGCATAACAGTTTATGAAATGCCAGTGATGTCAAAATGTAGTTTTGACAAATACTATTTTAACACGACTTTATATAACCTGTGCTTGTCATGTGAGTTGCTGATTTGTTCGTTAAAAAATTGTTTTCATATAACTTACTCAACCTACTGTAAATTAACAAGATCCTTGAATCAGTACATAAGAGTAAGGCCTGGGCTCACAACCTTCTTCATAAATATAAAGTAGAAGCAAGAGTAGATTTGTTAGATACAAGAAGAGTTATGAAAAAGATGTATGTTAATGTATTTGTCTAGAACAATTAGATGTTTGTTATATACAAGGAAAATAATTTGATTTTGAGGAATAGATTCTCATAATAGGAAACTATTAAAAGTTATGAAGGGTGAGGGAAAATATTTCACTGATTAAATTCTCAATCTTAAAGTATTAAATAGATTTGGGGTGTTAATTTAATGGTACTTTTTTAAATAAAGAGTATCCAAAAGATGAAATTTTATGATAACCCAGCACTCAGTCACATGTTTCACTTAAACTGAAATGTTAATATCAAAAACATGAAAATATTTACAAGAATGGCTGCCCTACTATTTTTAGGTATTTCTACGAAGTCTTTGGGCAAAGTACTAATAAACTTGTGGTAAAATAAGTATTCTATTTTATTTATTATGAAGAAACGTATGGATTAATTAGTGTTTGTTCTCATACATAAGATTATACAGAGTTAAATACAAAATAGTTCATAAAGAGTAGACTTCCCCAAACTTTAATCTTTTACACCCAAAACTACTGAAATAAAGCAGCAGTAATTAGTGACACAAGGTTTTTCAATAAGTTTCATGTTGTTTTACTATTAACCCTTTAAATACAAATCAATTATATTGAAATAAAAAATTACTTCTCTAATGTGTTCATGACCAGTCTTTCTATAAAGAAGACCCAGGAGGATCAAATCCTGCTTACTGACACTACATAGAGTCCTTCTCTAAAGACAGCAGTAGATTGGAAGATGGAATGTGGGATATAAATAATCAGGCATATGTGATCATACAGGCTAACAATCATGACAATGAGTCACTCTTTTCTGATGTGTTGGTTTACATAAGTAGAAACTAAATAATGAGTTATAACATTAAACATGAAAGACAAACTTTACCTTGGTTCAACATACACAAAATCACCAACATGGTATACTTGTCCTCTAAACACCACGCTGTCAGATGTTGACATTTCAAGGCTTTCTCTCTCATCCTATCAAAATAAAAAGTTGATAATATACTGATGCATCAATTATAATAGATTATAATCACAGGTCATGGCCATAGATACAGAACACTCTTTCTATAAATGTATACTGTACACATAATACAAAAGTTTAATTATCTGGTTGTGATAAATATACACCTTCCAACAAAAGATGTTTAAAATT